AATACGTTTGTTATTTTTTGTCACGATAGGAGCTATAGTGGACGGGCTATGATAGAGGTAGGCTTTATTAAAAGAAATATAGTCTTTGTTTTACGCGAAATCGGGCCACCCAAAATTCTAGTGACATATCCGGACACTTCCACACGTTCGCCCTATTCCCGTTCTGGGCCACCCGTCACTTGGCTACTTGGCATGCAAATCGAAGCCGAAAATCTGCCTCCAGTGCAGACGCTTTTTGAAAAGAGTGAGAGAGCTTCTTCCCCCAAAATTCGAGTGTGTCGGCTTTTGCCACTAGCCCATTCCAAATAACTGCCCCGTATTCTTGGGGGGAATAGATAGCAAAAAGCTATCCGTTTTTGTTGCATTGGCAATCTTTCCAGTCGAGTACCTCTTTGTCCAACCAGTTGCTCTCGCCTCTTTTCGGGCGGGCGATGCACCCCGCCGCCGCGTAGAAAGTCGCGCTTCGGAATTCGGTTTGCGGAACTTCCGACGGCCGTTTTTTCGGCGGCCACACCTAGGATTTACGCATCACCCTCCGAGATTCTGCCACACTTTAAGTAAACATTGGGGTGAATGGATGGGGTTACTTACTTTATCGGGTTGTGTGTTGTAGTTCTGAACGCCAACCCGCTTATTTTCAAAGATTCTAGATTTATTCTGGAATTCCAGAATCCAGTTTTATTCCAGAATTATAGATTCTCGAGTTTGATTCATCAATAGCGTGTTTTTGATTTCATTTGCATCATGAAAATGGCTACCGTCCCCCTGAAATTGAAATCAGCTCAAGTCTGCCATAATTTCAATGATATTGTTTACATCTAGTCAGTTTCCTTAGTATTGCGGCAAAATTAAAATCCCCTCCATAACTTCTCTTTTCTTCATTTCCCTTCTGTGTTTTAGGTCATGGTGAGTTAGTATTATACGATGCCACTGCGAGCACCAACCATCCGCGTTGAAAAATTCCGCTTCTATCCAACTAAGGAAAAGGAGTCCAAGAAAAGTAAGCATTGCCCTTGGCGATTCTCTTAACTGTTAATGACTTCTAGGCATCGCTTCGAGAAAAGGTTTGCTGCGTAGCTCTTGAAATAGCGTGTACCGCGTATAGCATGACTAATAACTCGCAAAAATCGCTAAACAATTTGTAGCTTTTTGGGTTTGGATGAGCAGGATTGCGGATATGTTTTTGTTTGCACTTTCAATGTTCTATAAATTGGCGTTAACCGTCCAACAACTTTAATTAACGTAAAAAGATTGAGTAGTAATCATTTAATTAGGGTTTCTTTCGTCCAAAATTTTTTTTATTGTTAGAAGTTATTTTTCTCGCTGGTTCTAAAAAGCACAATATATCTTTTTTTGACAATTTTAAGGCGAACTGGTTCAGCAAAATCAAGAAGTCAAATTTATATAGACTTTTAGCGTGCGATTTTCATAAAATAAAGGCTTTCCAGAAAAATCACTGAATTCAGTCTCACGACTAACATAATCGTAACTTACCTCCTCTTTACCCATCAAAAAAAGCCGCCAAACATTTCTCGTTTCCCCGGTAATCCACGAGCTGTCCATCTATCAGACTCGTCTCGAGATGGCGTCATAATATTTTTTTATGAGCCACCCCGTTCTCCCCCTCTATTCCTCGAGCACTCGTGTGGTGTGTGTGTCCCCCTCTAGCTGGTGGCTGTCAGGCTCAATCAAAACGGTTTAAAGCGTTTTTGGTTGGCCTTGATGGGCTGGTTGGCGTGGCGGGAAGAGTTCTCAAGAAGACGAACTCCCCCTCGGAGGGGGCCATACACACACACATAGGCTCACATCCAGTGGGGTAGGCGGGGCCCACCCGTGGCCGTAGACGGACGGACCCTAGTATTCACGGCTAATTGGGGCAACGAGGGCCCTCGACTTAGACTTTTCGACAGCCCACCTGGCTTACCTGACTTGGAATTTAACTCGCAATTCATCCACCTAATGCTGAAACCACCTTAGACCCACTGTCGGAAAGTCTAGGCTGGAGATGAGCTCGAGTCCACCAAAAGCCGGGGGCCTATGGCCATCCCCAGGCCTCTCTACCGCCTCCACAGAATTACTATCCCCATCTGAACATCGCAAACTGTCGACCCTATCCTGCTCATCCGAACATTTGCCCGCTATGTCCCGTAAGCGCTCTATGCGCCAATATATTGCCGAGGCCGAGCAAAAAGTTGAAAAGAAGAGAACTGTAGAGTCGAAGCACGCCCCGGCACCGTCGATATTCGAGGCTGCCGCACTAATAAAGAATATACATCCACAACGGATTGATTTGTTGTCAGGTAGGTGGTTGGATATCGGGGTGTATAGAACGAATATGCTCATTTTTGCTGTCGTGATGGTGATGGTTGGCGGGGTGTATGATATATCTTTCAAATATAATTTTTTTGACTAGTTGCATGTTTAATTTCTGTTGATTTTGTAATTTGTATATAGACAAAATAAATGTCAAATATTATGCATAATTATTTTCTGGCTGTCGTACTGTAGTTTGTGGTAATTTTTCGTCACACTTCACACCTCTCCTCCCCCATTCTATACTTTTTTTTATTAAAAATATACGAACTACGGCCGGATTTAAATTTAGAATTGCGGTTCTTATCCGATTGTGGTTTCCGTATATTTCCGGTTTTCACGCCTCTCATTATCGCTCTCTCATTTTTAGTTAAATTTTTAAATAGTTAAAATTTAAATAAGTTTTAAATAAATTGGGCCGCTAAGTTTTAAAATTGATTCTTTTTGGCCTCAAACAACCACCTTTTCCAGGACATTTTTATAATTTCGCTAGTATACATTACCATAGCTCTAGCTTCCGACCGCAAGGTTATTTACCCCTGCCCAGCAACCATCCATGCCTTTTCCATCCATTTTTACCCCCTTGATTCCCACGACGTGCGTTAATAATTGAAGTCGAAGACAAAAGGTACCCATAGGGCCCAAAAGAGGGAAGTGTGGCATTCGGCTGAAACAACTGCCCCCCACCCACCGCCAAACAGCAGACCCTCTTTTCGCGCATACCCTTTTTTGCAATGGCGTCCCCCTCCCCGGTTTTTTCTACTTCGCAATTTCACCCCCGTGTGAGATGGAGACGAAGGGCGGGAGCGGGAGGGCGAAGACAAGAAGTTGTCACGTTAATAGGCCTGACGCCACACATTTTGGCTTTGCCATGGGTGTGCAATAGGAGGGGGGGGGGGATGGATGCTGGCATGAATTGAAAAGGTGCCTTTATAAATAATGTCCATTTGGGATTCGGATTGGATGTGGATGGGAGGAAAAGGAAAACAATTAGAAGGTAGAGAGAGGAAAGCCTCAGAAACGCAAGGAAGCTGATCCCCGGTTTTTGCGCGTATTTTAGGGGTCCGGACCATTGCGGGGCGTAGTTTGTCGCGGACTGGATATGGGTGACAGCTGGGGGAGGTGGGACATCACGAATGGGTTCGGATACGCTCGAACACGCAGGATTGAATACATGGGGTTGATTGTGAGTGCGCGTGTCTATAGACACCTATGCAACAAAGAATTTCGGGTAAAGCCCATGGGGTGGAAGCAGGGAGCAAGGAAGTAAAAGAGGGGCAAAGAAAATTATAATAACATTGTTTCATGTTATTCTACCAGATTCGACTGCTAGAAACATTTTTTTCTATATATCCTAATAATCGCTTAACATCGGCTTGGCTCCTAATTTTTTATCCCAGACTAATCAGATCAATTCACACGAAATTTCTAACTTTCCTGGCCGCCTAAAAATCCTGCACTATAGAAAATCATTTCTAACTTTTAATCCGAATCGGAAGACCCAAAGAACTTTTCACGATTTGAACTCGTTGTTCTTAAAACGCACCAAGGCTATAGATCCCAAAATACACCCATTTCCGGCTTATTCCATTCCAACAACACCGTCCGACTATTTCTGAAATCCCTGTCTACGTCATTGTCTTATGGTAACAGATGTTGCTATTTGGTGACACAGCGGAAGCTGCTGTTGGGCGCTTTTTGTATGGATTAGCCGTCTGGGAGCACTCTCGCCAATTAGCCAAATCGGGGAGTTATGGGAGAAGAGGGGCCCCGTCGCCTTGGGGAATTTGAGCATCTGGCTGGCACTTTTAGGACGCTGGGGGAAAAGTGTGTTGCATCGGGGATTTAGTGGCAGTGGTGGTGTAAGACATAAGATTTGGAATTGGGGGGCCCATTAGGCGGATGTAGAGGAGGTGCTAGTATGACTCGCTAGCTGGCAAATGGGATAACGGGGCGTAGACCTGAGTCCGGAGGGCAAGCGTAAGCTGTGAGGATCCCAGGCTTAGGCTTAAAAGGACTGCCAAAGAGATCTTGGTACGTGGGGGAAGTTTGAACGAGCTCGTATTCTACCACCTTTTCCAGACCCTTTGCATAGACATTTTGGTGCACATAAGTAACGGGAGCGCTGAATGTTTGCTAATATTAGGAATTACTGTGGCATTTCTAAATTGCTGTTCGAGCAAACGTCGAGAATTTCCCTCAGAAAATTACTTTCAACCTAAAAACTTAATTGAAAAAACTTAAACACAACTGGAATCGCGGTATGTAAAACCTAATTTATGATAAGGCTCCAAGTTTTTTATCCCCCCGCCTACCAGATTCTCCTAAGTTTGCCAAACTTTTAGCTTTTAGCCCTACGACCCCGTTAGTACGTCTCGCTAGTCGAAAAGCTGCTAATTCCATCGGTCTTGCCCCTTCCCACATTCCAGTCAGTCCAAGAAACAGGGCACGAAGCCAAGATACACTGGAAGTGAGGACAACGCCAGAGCATCTTCCATTAATAGCTGATCTGTCCAATGGTAGGAGGGAAGAGCCCATGAATCCAAAATGGTCTCACCCACACCCTAAAGGCGGGGTACCCTGAGATATCTTCCACCAAACAATCCGTCCCATCCTGAAGGGGCCCCCCCTATCCATTCGACTACTTGAAACTGGCACGTCTAAGCTCTTCGGGCCTTGAGGGGGCTATGCTCGCCTCATCGTCCAGTAAGGACGATGATTTACTATCATCTAGTTCCGACGAGATCGAGCAGGTCGCCAGGGAAACGTTGAAGCATCTTGATGAGGTAGTTTTTTGGGTTTTAGTGAAGTATTCTAGAGGTAGTAGCATACTTTTTGGAGCTATTTACATTAAGTCTCTAGGGTAATGTTTTTTTTAGAACTTTGATGCATCGAAAGCGATATTCATTGAAATGGGGGGGGGGGGGGGTTTCTACAGTACATCTACACCAGGCTTCCGTCAGTGATAATTCGAGTTGGCGATTGAAATTGCAAAACACTTCACGGCTCTCCCTTTCCTGAAATTAAGGGGAATTTTTCTGTTAAATAGCTCTTTTTCTATGAATTTTGCGTTTGCTGCCATATTTAAATAATTTAATTCCAGAAAAAATTTCGGTTGACAAATTTTACCATTAAAAACCTGATTCTTTTATTAGAATGAGAAGTCGATCGCATCGGTTAAATCGAATGGTAGTATATCTACAATCGATCGGGAAAAAGCTGCGGCAAGAGAAGCAGATGTTGAAAAGAAAGCCCCAGAAGAAACTGGTTAGTGCCCGCTTTTGCTTAGACTGTCTGAATATGCATATCGCCCGACAGAACGGCTATACAAATTCTTGAATACTATATGCATATCCAGATCTCATTACCCGCTTCATCACCCGCTTTCTTTCGTTAAGCATATACTGATCTCGTTTGCTTACCCCCCGGGGAGGCTTGAGCATGAAACCAACGAGCCCCACTCAAGCAGCTCCACAGAATTCCCCCCACTATGGCTCCTCGTTGACGGGCTATCAGTCATGAGAGCACCAAAGAGAAAAAGGAGCTTGGCCCGGGGGTGGTGCGCCTCCACGGGGCTAAACGATGCCCTCCGGGGCGGCTTGAATGAAGCCTAATTCTATTTGGTTTCGGGGCAAACTGCAGTCCACAACTGGGCGCCGCTCCCTTCGCTTGAACATTGCTATAGAATTTGGCGTTTGACTTTACTGACTGTTCCGTTTCACATTGGCTCTTACCAGAGATGGTCTTATTCGAGTCAAGTCCGGATCAGAATTTAAGAATTCTATTAGGCGTTCAATCTATAAGTTCAAATCTCCAACGTTTCGATGCCAGTTAACACAGCGCCAATTGTTTTAACGTCGAATATAGTTAAAATACAAAATTTAACATTTTTTTGCATCCAAAAGTTTAGAAATTTGGATAAAAAACCGGAAACCTAACTAAATACCCAGATTTGAGGCTGGATTTGTTTTGAATAACACCAGCCGTTTTTATGAAATTAGGTTTCTGGATCTTTTCGATCATTTCTCTAACAAGTATCAGTCGAAATAATTACCTATCGTAATCCTTAATCATTATTGGATGACATTACTAAAGCCAAATATTTTTGTCCCTATTTCATACATAGATTGTCATCACAAAATTTTTTTGCTTTTTTCTGCTTCTCCCGGGAAATCCCTCAGCTTTCCACTCTTCCACTCCCATCCGATCAACACGCCGTTTACCTCAAAATTCTTCGGCTTTCCCTTTCTGGCTCCTCCCCCTCCGACCCCCGTGAATTTTTCAGAATTTCCGCCCGTTTTCCGAGGTGGACTGGTTCTCTGGGGCTGCGTTATTTTTTTCTGCTCTGAAAAGCAGGAGACAAGAGTCGGATTGTGGCGGGCGGGGTGCCGAGAATTCGGTTATCGTCTCGTCGCTGGGTCAGGACTTCGCCCCGGGGAGAAACAGAGGGGAAACGTACTGCCATTATTTTTTGCTCGGCCCATGGGCTACGGAGTGCTCTGTGCTTTTTGGGGGGATTTATTAGGTTTCGGGGGGGAAGAGGATGAGGATGAGGAGATCGAGCTTTTAGGGGCGACCCCGTCATATCATTGGGTAGTCGAGGGCGAGTTGAGGTTTAGTAGTCACGACTGTTAGTATGTTGTGTCTATGGAAGCTCGTGCTCAAGATGTTTACAATTTTTTGAAAAGATTTTAGTTTTCACACATTAAATATATTTTTAAATTTTACCCTGATTTTAACTTAGAATTACGTTACTAGATAGGCATAGCTTAACCTATAATGCCAAATTCTTAGATTGATTCCTTATATTTGATTTATTTATTATCTATTTATTCATACTGAATTCAGCTCAGTTTTTGCAGTCCTCCCCAAACCAAACTTAGCCACTCCTTGATCCCCAGGGATAACTTGTCAGTGCCAGATTTTGAGGATTCTTTCTCCTATCAACCCCTTTTTTGGAACACCCCCTTAACTTCAGCCAAAGCCCAAGCGTTTTTTATATGTGTTTGAGTTATAAGACGATGCGAAGCCGTGGAGCACTATTTGCTGTGGGGTCAATCTGAAATGCACGGGCCGCACGCAACCCTCAACAAATTGCCGCCTCAAAACAGATTCTGGGCCAAGCTGGACCACTATAATAGATGAGTGCGCTGGAGGGGGAGGTTGTGGGTATTTAGGGTGGGCAGTAGGGTCTATTGGGTCTAAGGGTATTTATGCGAGTTTTTCGGGTAATGGTGTGAACTTGGCTTACGTTTTTGGAAGCTAGGAAGATCATCTAGAAATTTTTGTTAGATATGATTCTCTTATGGACTAGGGACCAAGAGTAGCGCACTGGAATCGTTAATAGTATGTAGTAATTTTTCAACCGATAAACCGATTATTTATTCTACTATATTTCCCCAATGCGTGGTTCTTTTTCAAGGTTAGAATGCTCCATTTCTCAAAATAATGCTAATAAGAGTAAAAAAGTTATTGATCTCAAAAACCTACGGTCCTCGCTAGAGAATCAGCGATCCGACATACATTGTTTCCTTGAAGGGGTAATTCTACCGTAATCCTAGACCTCTAAAAGCCTTGCGAATCTCCCCTACACCACCCCCCAGAAATACCCCTCGGATACCCCCCAGCCAAAAGAAATGAATCTCTGTATCCCCTCATACACATCCAATTTTTCATGACTGACGGAGACTCAGAGCAGGAGAGCAGCGCTGTGCACTCGGTGCCGAGGCAGGTCCCACCCAATCTGGGGCCCCCCACACACAGCCCGAAACCCTAGACGGAAGGCCCCCCGGGCCTGCAGCCACTTTTCCTGTGACGACAAGCAATATTCTCTTCTCCCGGCCTCCAAGCGCCGCTTATTATCCCTTCCTAGGAATCTTTGACTAGTTACCTTACCCTAACACGAGATTCGGGGCTTGATTGTTAGCGGGGGGGGTTTATCAGAGGGTTTATTATCCCAGATTTTTCGAGATTTTCCCTATTTTTGATTTATTAGGATTTTTTAGCGCAATCCGATAGACCATCAAACGAATATATTAAAAATTCTAACCAAAGCGCAAAATCTTCGAGTCCTAAATAATTATACAAAGCGGAAATAACGGTATGGTTGAAATCGGTGTGCTAGCTAGTTCGTGAAGATATCGGACAAATTTACAAGGCATTTTAATCCCAGAGCAAAATCATGCGAAGGAGTCATCTAATAAGCGGAAGTAAAAGCAAACGGACGGCCTCGGACGAGTCCGGATTCTTGGCATTGATTTCCGGGGGATGTTTCTTGAGCAGCTCCTTGATTAAACCCCCTTCTGTATTGTCATTGGCGGCATTAATCCGTCGATTCTCTTCTAATCCCCTCCATCTTATAGTTGCAAACTGCTGCATCCGGTGTTATGTACGGGGCCGCAACGTCTTCATCGACTCATTTCTGCCATATTTTCTTCTTTTGTTACGCCCCGGTAGGAGTGAGGGTGGTGGGGGGGGGGGATAGCCATTAAACCCAATAATTAATCTTCCCCCAACGGGAAGTTATTCAGCCAGATCGATCCTTGCCCTGGTCGGCGAGCCCACCCCCCTCCAATAACTCTGGCAACGAGTTAGCCACCCACAACCAGACCCTCGCAAAGAATTAGTGCTTGCCCCAATTCATCCGAACACCTCTGGGGTCTCATTTAAAGCGGCCCATTTCCATTCATTGACCCTTTTCCCCTTTACATCGCCCGGTTCGGCACTAATACCATCTAAGGCTTCTGTCCCTGGCTCCCATCTCTTCTTCTGAAAATCCGGGAAAAATCCATAAAGCTGCCAGCGGCAGGCAGGCACCAGCAGGAGGAGGAGCGGGTCGTGGATACGCAATTTTGCCCGGTGACGCCCAAAACTTGTAATGGCCAGCTTCCAAATAGGCTCCACGTTGCTCCTCTCTTAGCGCTTTTTGTCTTCCTATTGTGGGATTCCGCCGATTTTCCCCTCAGTCTCCCTAGGGTCTTGGGCTCTCATATTACTTGGCATCAAAATCCCGGCTGCGGCTTTCACTGATTTGTAGCGAGGGGGGCACACAGGGATGGAAATATATATGAGCTGCGATGTGTTCGCTGGATGGGAAAAAAGTAGACGTTTCTTGTGTGTTTTTTTTTGCTTAGATGAAGAGATTACCGAAAATAGGCTGAATTAAGGATCAGGACCGTAAAATCCTTGGCCATAATGTATACAAACCTATGATAATTCGATCTTAAAGTTAGATTACATCTTTATTACAGTACATTTTACCTAAGCTGGCCATTTGGCTTACGGCCAGCGAATTTAGCTAAAACTAGTGTCTGAATTAGGTATTTTTAGGTTTACTGTTGGCCTTCTCCCGAAATCCACGACATTACAGCAAAAATCCTAGGATGGGATGAGCGGACCCTTCCCTTTTTCCGTTTTCCGTTTCTACGACATTTTGGACCACCCACCGGCCGATACCCCTATTCCTCCACACATCCCCAGTGTTCCATCCCCCCACCCGCAGGCAAGTTCCGAATCTCATCACTGCTCCCCCCGACAATCCCCACCTTATTTCCCCAGAGCCCTCAGCCGCGCCCCACCCAAATAATCCAGAACCCCCTTTCTAGCAGACCCCAAAAAAAGAAGCCTGAAAAAGCAGAAGGAGGAGGGGGGACAGAATTTCATTTGGAGCTCATAGGCTGCTTGTGAGGCGAAGGAGGACGGGGTGGGCAGGGCCAAGCAGTGGCGACGGGGGAGACCCAGCTTTTTGGCCTTTGTTGATATTGAAGGGAAGACGCGACCTTTCACATGGTGTTGGCCCCTGCCACAGACCGCACACACATGTGAAAGCGATCGCTGGAGGGCTGCTGTGGCCATCGTGTGTGTCAGTGCGCGATCTGGCTCCTGCTAAAGGCCCCCCGCCGACACCTGTGATTCGAAGTGCTGACTAAACACTAGTCACCGGTTAGCTAGCCGTCCGACAATCAGAAGCAGAAGAAGCTTATTTCGGGTCTTTAACCCGGCGAGGCAGCTTGCTCTTGCTCTCTTCCCCTGGGCCATGGGCTCCCAGGAACCGCCCAGGAAGTTCTCTGTCATTCCCCCCGACAATTTCCGGTTCTCCGCAACCCTGCCCGAAAATGGTGGGTCGCCCTCCTTTTCCCCTTCTCTCCTTTAAATGTCCCAAACGTGGACCCCATAGGATACGTTTCAGCTAACTCATGGTTTTCGGTTTAACAAACTTTCTCATTATCGATAATTTCCTAAAGACCGCTGTGATCCTTTAGGTTTTACTTTACAACTAAATTTCAAAATCTTTTTTGTTCTTTTTGGATCCAACTTTCTTATGGAAATCTAACTAACATTTTTTGTAAAAAAACAAAACCAGTTCTTCTGCAGTAACTCCCATCCCGTTTTCTTTTTCCTTTCAAAACTTACCTGTAAACTAAGGGCGAAAATGGTCTAACATGTCGGATCTGGAGCCACCGGAGGAGGTTCTACCCCCGGCCTTCGTTAAGAGGAGCCGAGAGCCTTTCCGGATTGACGTTAGTAAGTGATAGTCGGGCCTGACATCGCCAAGCACCCAGCTTTTCGGTCTTGCCATTGCATGCATTGTGTGGTCCCAAATGTGATGTGATGCAAAGTCTTCTGATTTGGTTCTATATTACTTTATTTTTTATTTTAGCAAACATCCAAAATGAGTTCGGCATTTGCGGATGGATCCTCACAATACTCTCCTACCTCGTCATCTTTTTCACATTGCCAATCTCGGCGTGTATGTGCATTAAGGTGAGCTTTAGATGATTTTTTAGGGGGTACCCGGGGGCCGATTGCCCAAACCTGTTCGAAAATAAAATTTTGTTGAATAGACATGTTCGAAAATCACTGGTTTTAGACAATCTATGCGCAATATCATTTTTCGGAAAAATTTGCATACCAAAACAAGCAAAATTAGATCCAATTTTACAAATGATTTTTCGGATAGGTGATTCGGACCCATAACTTCCGGTAAATGATTTTCGAGCCATCTCTAGTTATACTCTTTTACACGTTCACCAGGGTTGAAAAGCCGCGAAGCGGTTTCGCGGCTTTTCAACCCTGGCCCCGTCTAGGATCGATGAAGTATTGACTTTGCATAATTCTTGCCGAAAACCGCTCACCAAAAATGAAAAGCGCGCCCTCTCTTCCTTTTTATAACCATTTCCACTTCCGGCGTATGCTAATTGCTTCCTAACAAAGAGGTTGGCCGAAAACTTTACAAAAACCTAATTTTAATATCGAAAATAGCAATTTTTCAAAATTTTTATGTGTGTGCAGTCGATTCCGGCCCCTTCTTTACCCTATGACGTTTTTTTCCCTACCGAAAAAATGCTTCCCTGAGGCTGTAGGTGCGGAACATCCAAACGGAAGTGCATGCAAATATAACACACACACACACACACACACAAACACTATTTTTTTATATATAGTAGGATCACCTCCTTTTGTGCCGGTATTTTTCGAAAAAGTAGTCGCTCGACCCTAGAGACCTTACTAGAGTATTTCCAGCTATTTTCGCGATTTGGCAATGGGCCCAAATCCCACGTCCAGGCCCACACAGCTCTCCTCTGGTTTGCGTGGTCGTGCAATTTTGGGGAGGACCGCTTTCTTGCTCCTTCTCCGGCCTAGATCTTTTGCGTGGTGGCCTCAATTTCCTCGAGGGCCCTGGACAAGGACGGGAAGGCCTCCCCTTCGTTTCCCTTTTGGCCAAGTGCTTCGGCCGAGGGTCTCGAAAGAACAGCTCGAATAACCAGACTTGTCGTTTCCAGGTCGTCCAGGAATATGAGAGGGCCGTCATCTTTCGGCTCGGTCGATTGATGCCTGGAGGGGCTAAGGGGCCAGGTATGTATAAATAACAAATAACAAACAACGAGGAAATCAGGGAAAAGGGATAACTTTACTGATATAGCCATGCGCATTCCAAAAGTATATTTATAATCCAACCAATGTGAATTGATCAGCGTAATGCGTTTTCCCAACAACATAGAATCTGTAAGCAGCTTAAATTGCTAGAAATGGATGGAATTAGGCAAAATGCTATCAAATTTACCGGTTTTTTGACATTTTCCCCGATTGAAGAATTTAAGAAGACCTGTTTCATGAGGTGAAATACCCCCCACAAGATTCCCTATCATAGTGGTAAAAAAATAGGAACCTAGGGCACATCTTAGAAGAAATACGATATTCATTCGTCAGAAAAGTGAGGGCTTTGAGCTGCTCAATCTAAAAACCAAAATTAGAAACAGAGTTTGGGCCTATAAATAATTTTCAATTGCATCCCTCGCTTTCAGGTATTTTCTTCATTGTTCCCTGCATCGACACATATCGAAAAGTCGACCTCCGAGTCCTCTCCTTTGAAGTGCCGCCCCAAGAGGTTTGATCATAAATTCCGTACCAGACCCACTCAATTTAGATCCTATCAAAAGACTCGGTAACAGTTGCTGTCGATGCCGTCGTCTACTTCAGGATATCTAATGCGACGATTTCCGTGACGAATGTCGAAGATGCCGCTAGGTAGGAACCATTTCATGTTTCAACTATTACTTCAATTTTAGATCTACAAAGCTGCTCGCCCAGACGACCCTCCGAAACATCCTAGGTACCAAGACATTGGCTGAAATGCTCTCCGATCGTGAAGCGATTTCACACCAGATGCAGGTAGGGTAAAACCACATAATTTTTACCTAAAATTTGTTTTAATATATCTATCCATGCCCTGAATTCTTGAATGGACGAAACTACAAAATAACCCCAAATTCCAGCTTAAAGTACGATGTCAATCTTGCACTTTTTTTGCCCATGCGCCCAATTGTACCCTCCGGCTATCCATCAAACTTAATTAAATTCAGAATACCCTTGATGAAGCCACGGAGCCTTGGGGAGTGAAAGTGGAGCGGGTTGAGGTGAAGGATGTCCGCCTTCCCGTCCAGCTTCAAAGGGCCATGGCCGCGGAAGCCGAGGCCGCACGTGAAGCCAGAGCCAAGGTTTATATCACAAAATTAATATTGACAAAAATGATTCATAACTATTCACAAAAAAACCCCATTTTTTAGGTCATCGTCGCTGAGGGAGAGCAAAAAGCTTCGCGCGCTTTGAAGGAAGCCGCCGAAGTCATTGCTGAATCTCCATCAGCATTGCAGCTGCGCTATCTGCAGACTTTAAATAGTATTAGGTATGGACACCACAGTATTGAGGCTTAATTGGTTTTTTTAGCGCTGAGAAGAATTCTACGATTATTTTCCCGTTCCCGATCGATCTGTTGAGTGCTTTCCTTCAAAGATCCGCACCTAAAATGTGAGTGGACTTTATTGCAATACATTTGTATGGCTTCACTTCACAAAGCTGGCTTTGAAATGTGTTTTCTTATGCGTCGAATTTCGCAGTGCTAAATCGCGTTTAAACAAAGCTGCAGTTCGCCAAAAATTGTTGTTTGCTACGCACCTGAGAGCTCTAAAGGTATTGGAAAGTAAAATCCACCAGAAAATCCATTCTCGAGTGCGGAATTGACTTCTCCTTTCCTTTAAGACAAGATACGCTTTGCTACTAGAGCTGGTCTTCTTCAAACCAAATACACAGTAAAAATTAAAATTGAAAACGGTCTATTCAGCTTCCGGTTCTTATTCAAATTCTGCATGTAACTCGCGTAGGAAGCTTTTTAGGCCGCAAGGCGATAGAAAACCGGCCACTTCGATGTTTTGCATTAAAAAATTTGAGAATTTAAATTTTGAGAGAAATTTACTTGAATTTTGAGAGAAATTTGAGAAGCCAAAAGCTTAATCCAATCTTTCGATTCGAGGGTACATTTTACTTTAATATTACCAGCTCTACTTGCAACATCATAAAAACACGCGGCGCTATCCACATTTTCCGTTTTGCTTACCACGGCTTGCAGGAGCGCTGATCTCGGGCTTGCCGGCTGCTCATCTACCTCGACAAAATCACATCAAAGCTGAGGGGTAGGCGGTCGTCGCGAGGGCTCGGGGCAGCCCTGGCAACAATACTCCCTGGGCCCTCCCGGTCCTTCGACGGCCGCTGGGCTATGTCCACCGGGTATGCAAAGTATGCCACCAGGCAGTTTGGCACTCGGTCCCCGTCTTTCACAGGGCGCCCTATCACCCATTTCGGAGGTTGGCTACGCGGCCGAGTCGGAGTGGGACTATTCGGATTTTGAGTGTAATTGAGGATTTTTTCATTAGGTTGCATACGTTAAAAATGGCAAACGCGTTCAGACCAGAATTCAGTTTTAAAAAAAGGTCATAAAAAGCTAATTATAAATAAATAAACTCAAAAAATAAAATGTTTAAATTGAAGACTAAAGCTAAAAAGTATTTTTGCCGTTTCGGTGTATACCTAAACCTTCAAAATCTGACAGATCTACGAATCGCGAAAGTACCATTTTTGGGAGCCCTGCATTGCTGAATAGTCATACTCCACCACAGTGGCCAATCCCTATTTTGTTTGTCCAATCCGCTTTGAATATATCCCGATATTCTATTTAAGCATTATTAAAGTTTATCGAGCAGTTTTTTACATTCTAAGGTTTCCCGAAACCGGTTCCCCTCCAGATTTCCCACATATTCTCCTATTTATGCACACCGTCACCATCCACCAAACCAATCAACTTTCCACACAAAACCTTGTCAAAAACACAATCTCATTCACACACCAATGGAGCTTCAGTATTTGAAAATTTTTATTTTGTTTTGTTTCACAAAGAATACGGGCTGTTGCCATACGTTATCTCCCACGACTGACGGCCCCGACTCCGATTTTTTCTAATTTTTTTATTTTCCAATCCTCCACCAAATCTCTTTCACCCAGTCACATGCTTCAAAAATTATAGACACTCATTCAAATCCCACAAAAATTTCAAATATATCCCCCTTTATCCTACCGTGCGGTGATAATAGATCAAATTTTCTGTACAGAATAAATTGTGTTCACCAGCCAGTTCACGCCATATAAAGCACGCAAACCGATGCATGAGTAAAAGAAAGAGTGGTATTTTGGTAATCTGAATTTAGCGAGGAGACGCCGGTGATGACCAAGAAGATACGGAATTGTTGTCTGCATAAATATCCGGACTGGGTGCAAGGGTTGTCGAAACCTGGGCATCAACATGCTCAGCAGCACGCGCGCCCGATGGCTACGGCTCAGAGGTGTTTTTTGAACTTTGAAAATATACAAGCAGCATTTCTAAACGGCTAAATTAAAGTCAATACAAGTCAAATTATGGCGCTCAGGAAGCCAAAGTAAAATATGAAAACAAAGAAAAAGAAAACCGCGGTGACTTGGCAGAATTTATATAGACCTTAACTTTCTATGTTCTCCATAGCTCTCTCACTCTCTATTTCTCATTCTCTCTTTCCGGCTATATCTCTATTTATATCTCTTCACGCAATCAATTCCTATATTGGTGCAAGAAATTAGCTATTAAACTTAAACTTTGGGATTTCAAAAGTCAGCTGGCACAAATGTACCTCCGAAACTCCAGCCAATATCCCGAAAACTGTTGCCATAATCTGTGTCACCGCTCTCAACTTCCGATCTGTAAGCCTGTCTTCTCCGTGTGTAGGGGTGCTCGTGCTCACAGCCGAAATCCAATCCGATCTAGGAGCTCGGGTGCCCACCCCAGCGTTCCACAACTGCCACTTCCAGCTTCTTCCCCCTCATTTTGCGACCCGGCTTGCCCTTTGCTATTGTTTCGTCTCTCAATTCAGTCCATATCGTCTCCCGCTCTCTAAAAAGTGGCATGTGCTACAAACGCTCGTAAAGTCGCTGTTCCGCACCTAACTGGCATGCTAGACCTTCCCCTCCCCGTTTTCAGTCTGTCTGGCTAATGTGGTGGTTAGCACTCGGAACACATTTCGGCGGAAACCACATAAATCGCTGGGTCCGGGACGAGGTACTTTTTGTGAAAGGAGGGGATGGTTGGTCGGTGGGGAGGAAGAGCATGAGCTACGGAGAGGAGGGGAGGACCCACAAGGGCGGAGTCACCTGAGACTCTTAGGGCCAAACGAAGGAAGGGCTTTTGGTTAGTCTGTATGACATGTTTCTACGTTCGATTGTTGGTGGATATTTATGACTATACCGTCTTACGGTGGGCCCGGATTGATGCGGTGCTTGCGGAGGAATTCCGATGTTGAAATACCGATTTGTTTGGATGAAAAGGAGTGGTAAGGGATATGTCGGTGTGTTGGGAATTTTGCTGTTGCCTTTTTGGTTACGGTACCCTATTTTTGTAGCATTGCATGTCTAGATAATCTCCGTTAATTCCACCGATTTTAATGAATTTCCACATAATAATTCTTTTGATTTTAGGTTAATGAAAACCGGAATTTTGCAGAATTTCCGATATTTACGATGCTTTCAATCTTGACTCCTTTTCTCCTTTTTCTTTCTACTTAGAACTTTTTCGTGTTTATTTTATTGAAACGCTGAATTTTTGAGATTTTAGCGAACGTATTTCAAAACTATGAACCTCACAAGGCTCACAAAATTTTGAAATATCCCGAAATCACTCGAATTTCCTCTAAATTTCACTTCACTCACTAGCCATAGCGCTTTCTTGTCAAGTTGATCTCGGGATGGGTTTGAGGGTCGGTGGGCTCTTTGTGGAAACAGATGTGAAGCCACCAATCAAAGGCATGATCGCAGCTGATCGTGACGAGCCCTTTCTCCCCCTAGCTTTTGCCCCGCCAATGTGTCAACTGTTGGGCCACAACGGCCTCTTTTTGTCGTGCCCTTCGCAAAAAATTCCAGACCCGTGAAGCGTAGTGGAAAATAGCTAGAAAATAGTTTGAATTAGTCGTAAGTCTACGGCGCCGTGCATTAACTCAAATTTATTTATTTTGATTATAACCCAAAAAAATTATTTTGATTTTAGCATGCGCGATGTCGACATCCATAGCAATCAACCAATGCCCGGACCTTCTGGATCAGGTTTGTAAATAAATTGCATTTTCAATATTATTGATCATTCCAGGCGGACAACCCGTACTCTACGCTCAACCTGCAAATTCTGTGACACAACTCGAATCAGGTAACCTTTTCGAGCAGCTCGTTTCGCACTTTTTTGTTCTCGAAAAGCTTGGCCTTTGCACGATCCATCCCCAATTTTCCAGGCCAGGGCATGGACCCACGCCGACCAACGGCACTCGGCCAGAAGGGTCGCCAAGGATCGGCAGGCCAACATTCACTTCTCAAACAGGCTATCGCCAATAGAATCGGAAGAGAAGAACCTGACACTAAATCGGGCCCCGAGAAAACAGCGTTACTTCATCCTGGATGGCGAAATGGAGACGGACACTTAAAAGAAGAACAAAAACGAGCCGACAAACCGGGCCCTTCCAACTTCCCGGTAGCCGCTTTGGAAAAAATGAAGATAAGAAGCAACTCGAAAGACAAATTGCTAAAAGATGATGAACAAGGCACGGGAACCCATCGACTACCAGCGGCTGAAAACGGTATTCGAAGGGGCAAGATGTTAACACGTGAAAATTCCGATCCATCGCTGACAATATCTTCAAAAACGGATACCACCGTTCGAATGGTCCCGATTACAAAGCAGCCAAAAGCCGACTTATCGCCAAAGAAGGAGAGAAAGAAGTCTTCGAAGCAACATCTAGGTGAAAGAAGAGAATCATCGGTTAGTGATTCTAGCCGAGTGTCAATACAATCTGGGAAGAGCGTCAAGTTCTCTGATCAAATCCTTATCACGGAAATTGAAAGGCGCCAGAAGGATAGTTCTTCAGATGAGGATGTCGCTTTGATGAGTGATGATGAATCTAGAAGAGGGTTGAGAGAAGATGATGACGATGATTTTGAAGAGCTAGAGAAGAAGATATTGGAAGAGCAAAAGGAGTTAGAAAGCAGACAGAAGCCAACCCCATTACCTCTTTATCGAATTACCAAAAACGCACGTGAAGGTGGAGGCGGCGTAGAGACTGGCTCAGTTGCTAGCTTCTATCCGGAGGATAGCCAACCTGATCGTTTCTTAATTGGGGAAGAAGAGTACGAATATGTTTCACTTGATCAATTGCCGGACTCTGTTCGCCAAGCAGTGCTACGCGATATCCATGAGCAAAATATCTATGAAGAAATGGGCGATTATCGACAACAACAAGCAGACCGAGAAGGCAGTGGTGTCCATATGGGTTCAATGAGTCGCCTGCATGATCTACCTCAATCTCCAAATGGCTCAAATATTGTAGTTGCTCCACCACTCCCTAGATCTGCATCTGGATACCTTGATGACGATACTGGTCTTCATGATTCATACCAACAGGCCGTTCAAAGCTCTGGCTTTGGGGTTCCATTACAAGGTCCAAGGACTCTTGACCGTCCTAATATGCTCCTATCCTACTATGACAACGTGCAAGGCGGATATGTTGGAACCTCGCAGACAACGAAGAGCCCGACTTCTCCCTCACAAGATAATAGGTACCCAGCACCCGGAATCTACAATGCTCAGATGGCATTGGCTGAGATGAGGGGAGATCCAGCTTACCCAACCAGCCCTAAAAGGGAGTTGAATGTCCAGGAGCAACGACAAGCCTTTTTCCGATCCATGCTGCCGGGGGAAGAGGTCCAAAGCACACCGACATCGCCAACAAGCCCTGAAGAAACGGCGATGCGTCGTCAGTTCGTGCAACGATATGGCCGTCGGAAGGCTCCGATCGCTGAGGTTGATCCTGCCGATCCGAGACCAAGCCTTGGTTCTCAGGACAGTGTGGCGAGCACCGAGTCCCATGAGTCTGTTGTCAGTGCGACGAGCATGAGAGCCGAGCGCGCCGTGCGTCGTGATTTCAACTACTAGCTTCGCTTCAAGTGCTTTGGTTGGTTCTCACACTGATGATAGATTTGATACATGACTTAACGGAATTTTTGTAAGTTCTAGGTGTGTTTCACTAAAACTTTGGGTAAGAAATATTCTTTGAGGGAAATATAGAGTTTCGTCTTTCCAGAAATATAAAAAACTCTTGCACAAATTTGAAGTCACATAAAACGGATTCACTTAGGCTTTTAGTCGAGACTAGAGAATATATGGACGCTCGACCATCAGCTTAAAATTAAAATTTCCATTTCAGTCCGCTGACCCATCGCCACGGCACCTCTCCTCTCCACATCACCAACCGCCTTTGATCTCGTCTTTGAATTATGGTGGATCTCTGAATAAATAATTCTCAAATCAACACACGACACCACCATAAAAAACAGACACAGATGTGAGGAGGCGACGCGTAACATGTACCCATTTGGGCTGCGCGCAGGGAGGACCATCGCCCTAACCCGCCAAATTCAGCACACATGTCCATCCGGGCACCATCGATCGGACCATTTTTGTGCGTGTTTACGTAAAGCCCTGTTTTCAAAGTAGTAGTTTTCAAAATTTTGGAGCGGTCGTTCTATTAGCTGTCAAACTATGATTTTGTCTCCTATTTCTATAGCATGGTGCGGGTCCACGTCGAGCCGGGGGCGAAGCCAGAGGATAATCATGTGATTGTGCGCTTTCACGACGTGCGGAATCATTTAAACTATGATGTATGTTAATGCTTATTTTGCCTTGGCTAGGTGTTTCAAAAGTATATAGTCAACGAATCATCAAAAGTTTTATCAAATAAACAGTAGAAATGATGGTTTCCGCGACCAGGATTTGCAATTTGTACTAAAAGAGCCGTCACATGTCCCAATAAAAAATTTCAGGATGCGGTTTCACACATGGTTTTTGACGATCAAATTGATGAGATCGAGGAGGGTATCCACAGTATGGCCTGTTGCGTGATGTTGTTTATGCTCGTCGTCATTCTCTACCTCGTCCTCCTCAAGTAGGTATTTCTTACTGTGCTATTTAGCATTAGTATCTAAGTACCAGCGCCCAAAAACCGCTTCGCGGGCCTTGGCCGCTGGAATGCGGCCCTTGCATGAAAAATTTGACTTCCCGATAGCTCGGGTCGTTCGGAGTCCCTCATCCCGTCCGATCACGCGCGCGCGTGCAACTTGATGCAAGTTAGCCCTCCTGGCCCCAAAAAACCGGCTTTAACTTCGTAAACTTGTATTTTATCGAAATTCTGAAAACGCGATTGGAAAGAAGGGGGCCGATTCCCCCAACTGATGGAGGATTAGAGCATTTTATGCACGGGAAAGCCCTCAAATCGGTCTCGGAAAGTGACATCCACACGCACCCACACACAGAGATACCCCCCAAAATTATATAAGGTAGGATAACCTCGAAAAATATGGTTTTAGCTGGATGGGCAAGCACTAATCGCTAATTTTTGAACCACCGCCTCCAAGGAGCAACAACTGTGTGAGGGTTTCATGTTGTGCTCTTGTTTTTTACTCGTTTCTCAAAGGAATTAAATAAACTTTACTCAAAAACAATTAAATACCCGCATTAAAGAAATATTGTGAAACGAGATCAACATCAATACAGTTTTTACTAAAGGTAAATAATAAAAGCGCATAAACAGCTTGTTAGTATATCATTATTCGTTCGTAAGTGGGATATATGACTGCTTGAGGCACCGGTGAAACAAGAAAAAACACTGTCGACAACTAGATGCATTTAGAATGCAGAGCCTGCACATAATCCTTGAGCTATCACAACAATGGCAGTATTGACTAGGGACAAGCCTGGACTCGGGGGGATGGATTATACATAGAAGCTCTCGGTTCTGAGGACTTTTGGAGGTAGAAGTTTTTCGAGAAATTGTAGAATGACGGCTGCTGTGGGTCGCTTTGCCATCCCAACATTTAGACATTCGGTTATTAATGGGCGCATTGGTTCGGCAAGCATAACATCGCTGAAAAAGAAACTATTTTAGAAATGACATTTAAATTTACATGTCTTTCGCGCCAGAATGCATGCGCTTGATTTCCCGTTGCACCCGTTCCTCACGGCCTTCCCGCAAATTCGTCTGTAACGCAGCTGGCCGCCCCAAAGTGCAGACTTCATACAGGAACTCGCCGAGTTGCCAGCTATATATTAAATTTAGTAGTTTTCTTTTTCTCGTCTCTTACAGATCGCTCTCCTTAGTGTAGATGCCATCGTCGTGAGTCTCTGGGGGTAAACGATCGATATTTAGACCTTCGCCATCATCGTCAATAGTACCAAGACGGACAGGCTCGCATAGTTCTAATTTTCGGTTCTTTATTGGAATTTATTTTCCTTACCAAAACTTGCGATTTTCGCCCTTTGCCCATGCGGTTGCATAAAAGCGTCCTGCCACGGCAGATGTAGATAAATAGAATGAGCCCCGATGTCACGATGTAGGAACCCGCATTCGGAAATATATTTCTGAAAATAGATTTATTAGACGAGGTAATAGGACGTACCACTCCGCTGACTACATCTTGACAGCATTGACTAAGGAAAACAGCCATATTCTTTTGCTCGATGCAATAGACATCTTCGTAGATGTTATTGGGATTTGATTGGTTGGCTTGTGACAAGGCGCTGTTGACGACATGCAGATAGGAAAGGAAATCACCGCCTTGGCAATGTTCAAACAATAATCCGGATACCAATTCCTAAAATCCATTTTAAGGTAATTTTCCGGAGATTACCGCTTCTGCGGCTGGATCGACCACTACGCCCAAAAATCCGAGAATAGATGGAATCGAATGTGATGGATTTGAATTCATGGCTTGTGCCGCTCTCAATTCTCTTCTGATCGCCACTTCGCTGCTTCGGAGATGATCGCCACCTAGAAACATAGAGACATTTCCAAATATAATAATTTAACACACCAATCGCTTGTTTTTGTAGCACTCGCACATAGTCCCTTTCTTGTCGTACTGCCACCAGCGATTTTAGCGAGAATTTTCCGCTTCCAAGGTATTCCACCATGTCAATTTGATGTGAAGGTATTCTAAGCGGGTCTCGATTTGCTTATCAATTTTTCGAAATACCTGATGGTTGCTGGCAGAACCGCGTCCATTATAGGCAGACTTGCATATTTCATCGATTCCGGAGAAATGAGATTCTGATCAAACACTAATAGATTTTTGTGGAACCATTACCTGGTTATAAAATCTAGTATAACCATCTTGATCTGCCAATCTACTGACATCACTTGCGTATGCGGGCGCTCCGTTTTGAGGTAAAGCCGAAAAATTTTGCCGGTTCGGCCTTCGCAACGAATGGACCCCACGGAATGAGCTCACATAGTGTATCTGGGGTGGTTCCTAAAAATTTGACAATTATATCAGATTTCTGTATGTTTACCATATTGGGTGGTCTTGGTAGTGTTGCGGAGAAATGTTTTCGGTTCAGGTCGGCTTGAATAGCTTTCTGACTTTCTTCATCAGAATCGAGATATCCGGAACGAAGCCCGACCACTTGCTTTCCGTTAATTTGGCACCACTGCTCACTTCCGGAGTCTGAAAATAATGTCAGAAAGGTGTGCTCCGTGTCGCTACAACTTACCATTTGTGCAAATAGTTCCTGTAACAACACTCTGACGAAGGGCCTTCCCCAAATCCTTCTGCATTATTGATAATCGCCTCGAGCGGACACACACGGTCACGGCTGCCGCCACCGAGATGAGAACAACGGTCAGCATCACAAATAACATTCCGATCTAAATGACATTTAGAACTTGTGTTTAATAACACAATGCAATACCTGTGCCCAATCTCTAGCTGCCGCCCCAATAATCAAACTGCTCGCTTTTTCGTAACGATATATTTGCACTTTGGTCGGTGTCGATCTCCGGTTTCTAGTGTCGACCACAACAACTTCAATTTCGTAGTTGCAGGTTCCATCGCTAGGGTAGAGCTGCACGGAACGGTGGGTCTAAAAGACTTATCAAAAAACAACAGCGCCAAATCTACCCCAGTCACGCTCCGTTTCTGTTCCGGCACTTCCGGGCATTGTGGGCCAGAAGTAGGGATAGTCCGCATTGAGATTGAGAAATGAACACCACGATGGAAGACTTGTGTCTATACATTTAATTACATAAAAGAAGAGTTACTTTTACCTCTTGCTCATTGGGTAACGTCCAGTTCAGGACAATGGCATCTTGCCCCACCCAACCCCATTGGATATTTTCGGCTGGTGAAGGGGCTAAAGACATCTGATTAAAAGGATTCTGTTGATGGCTTACCACACATGCTGGGATCTTTAGCTAACTTCCGGCAAGAGGAAGTTCTAACTAAAGTCTCTTCAGCTCCATCTTGATCCCTGACGAATCGGGAGGTAGCTCGAATTTGGACGCGATAGTCATGCTCAAAGAGGAGGCTATCGACTAGATAGCCGCTTGAACGATCCTGAAATTATAAAAGTTGATTCATAGCTTCCTAGCATAAATTACCAAAACAAATGGTATTTGTAGATCGTCCACAGAAGCATCATATGCCAGGGTCAACGAGCAGGCCGGAATGCTTCCGGCTGGGGCAGCAAAGTGAAGCTCGACAGCGGCTTGCTCTTCACTCCACATCTGAAGGACTTGAGGTGCTAATTCTGGCGGTAAGTTACCTGATTTTTCACACTGGTTGAGAGTTGAACCGTGGATGTTTGTTCGAGGATCGGGCCTGGGAACCATGGGCCACGGATTGTGTTGCCCATGACGCCTTTTGTGCTGAAGGTTGTCACTCGGAATTGGATAGCTGTTAGGTCGGCGGGGAGGACGAGGTTGGCGTCGATCGATTTGGAATAGCCCTGAAAATTTGGAATAGTCAGAATTAACTTTCAAACTACACTTTTAAACACTCATTCCTATAGCTTACATAAATTTTGAAATCGAGAAAAGCTTTAGAGGATAGGTATTAATATTTGCATTTTGCTCACATAAGTACTCCAAAACATTTTCTCCGCCTTGCTCCCATCGCCACTCCGGTAAAAGGCCTCGACAAAATGGACAAAGTAGTCGTTGGACACGTTGTTGTATTGTAGCAACAGCTGGCCGTTGATTGACCGATTCAAGGCCACATAGTCGGCGCACAACATTTGCAGCCTTGTCACGACGTTCAACGGAATAACATCTGCATTTTTCATTGTACTCCAAATTCAAAACACCTACCTTCAGTTTTTGTAGATAATTCTTTGGCTGTGCTCTGGCCAACCAAGAAAGCTGGGAGGTCGAGCTCAGAGAAGCCGGAAACCGAGCAGCCTAGTTTGCACTAGATAGATGTAAATGTTAAAGTATGACTAAAGTTACCAGGCTAAATTGGGTATTGTTCGCAATATCCAGCTCATTCAAAACAACATCGCCATTGTTTAATCGCCGGTCTTTCTTGTTTGCATACTAAAAATATGCATTATGAATTGTTAGGCTAGCGTGTACCTCTTTAAGACATCTGGCTTGGCACATTCCAAATTGAGCAACCGGTTGGGATTGGGTGGGGCATAGATATAATAACAGTAATATTGGTGGGCCCCACCAGTCGAGCCACATTCTGAAAATAAGTTTATGGAACAGGATTTAATTTGGGAAATGGAATGGAAGGGAACGGAGACGAATGGAAAGGAATGGAAAATGGAGGATTTGAGAAAAAGGTTCTAATGGAAGGGTAGGTGTGGAAGCAGATAAAAAAACGAGGGAAGACCTTTTTTCTGTAATGAAGCGTACAAGTACGTAGTGAAAACAGGGAAGAATCAGAAATTAAAGCTGTAGTTGATGATTGTGGCCTTAATGCGGATTATAGCTTAATTCTAAGCCGAAGCCTAAGCCGAAGCCTAAGCTAAGCCATGTTTAGGGCGTTCGACTCCTCCTATCCAAGCAAATAGTATGGGAAAGCGATTAATTGCTCAATACGTACAACTTCGTAAGCGCGACCCACCGACATTGAGCCTCTAGATAACTAGCCAATTCCGAAAGATTCAATTGTTTTTCCCGAATCAGGACAAAAAAAGGGAGGCAGTTTTGTATGCGGGCAGTGCAAATTATCGGCAGCCGAGATCTGGAGTCTCCCTTTGTGAACCCGAAAACTGAGGGAAGGACGCGCTCGCCGCCCCCACCGGAGTCATTAGTCCAATGCTGCTGCCCAATGCTCGCTTTCGGGCTCTGAGAACCACCGATTCCAACACCTAGAAGGCCAGATACCACCTCCCCCTCCCCATCCCCAACCCTCCAGCCCGAACTGATGGCCGCCCAAAAGTACTTTTTAAGGAATGGAACGAATGCTACCGCTTTTCTATCGCTTCCAAGCCCGCCCGCTGCACCGAAAACAACAGCAATTTGCGCCGTCAAACCCGCCCGAAGACAATGGAAGTGGCTTTTGTCAAAAACATTAAACGCTCAAGCCCCGGCCAACGGGGGGGAGCTGTCGGATGAATTATTGGGAGTTCAGAAGGCAACCCTTTTGATCTGGAGGGCCGGAAAATGCGCGAAATGGGTGGAGCCGCCCCAAGGGGGGTTTTCGCTTCATATTGCGCTCGATTACGATCTGAAAAGAAGCCTCGAGAAAACCGGGCGTTGGTGGACCAAAATAGATGAGTGTTGACCAGGGAAATGGAGGAAATTTTAAGGCGGGATTGTTTGAGAAAAAAGACTTGGAAAAAAATTAAAAATATACAAAGTACAGCATGATAATATTAATTCCTAGCATTAAAACGAAACATTAGCAAAAAATTAACAATCAACACGCCGTTACACGTTCTATTACTGCAATTTAAAGGAGGATTTTTTGAGATGCAAAAAGACGAAGAAAAAATCTTAAAAATCAAACTACCGTATGATCGTAGGTTAAATCAGAAATATATTATGTATCTAGATATAGGCTTTTCCCAATTTACAAAAGCCACTCAAAAAATATCAATATCTCAAGCACTGACCCATCCATGGCGTGAAAAATAAGATCAAGGAGGTGTCGTGATGAGCTCCCTTAAGTGGATCGTCGAAAGAAGGAGGGCCCACCGGGCAGATGGTGGCCCACAATTAAAAACCTCCTATTCGGTGGCTTCGGCCATAGGGCCACATCATAGGATCTTCTGTAATTGGCTTATGGTGGGACCCCGGGCCCGAAAAGGGTGCAGGGCCCACCATAGCCCTCGGGTTTCTTCAACCGGAAGCGGTCAGCACCCAACCCATTTCGGGTATTGGTCGAATCCTTTGTGATTCAGCATGGAATCTGTGCGCGAAATTGGGCCACACTAGCCAAAGAAAAAAGGCGGGACAGGGCTTGGTGGGGCGGCTTGAAAATGCTGATTGAATGGTTTTGTGGAAGTGAGGGGGGAAGGGTCATCAGGGGCGGCTTGTTTTTGCTTGCGGAGTCCGTGATTGGTGGCGGCTTTTGGACTTGGCGATGGATGGGGTTTGATGGTGGTGAATAGAGTGTGGAAGGCGTGAAGTTTGGCGGGAATTTGGTTGACAAAAAAGAAAATCGGAATGTTGAATTTTGCATCTTGCGGATTTGTATAGATGATTTGTCAAAAATGCAAGTAAAGTTAATTTTAAAGCGATGATATAAATTAGAAAAATCCGCATAAAATGTTAGAAGCTCGACAGAGTTAGAAAAATTAAGTTCATAAATTTTTGTGGTGCACGCTCGATATAATCGGCTATTTCAATAACAACTAAATACCGTTAAATATTCAATATTTAAACTTTTGGTTCTTGATTAAGATAAATTAAAGTTTAATTGAATTAATTAATTAAATTTTTTAATTGCGTAATATGTAAAAATAAATTTGCATAAGGTCTGACTGCTTCAATGGCTAGAAGGAGTGGATTGGCTTCGCCGAGTAGTCTCTACGACGAAACCTCAAAAACCTGCAAGTTCTTGCAAAATGCTGGTCTTGAAGCTTAAAAATTGCAACTGCCCTTCAAAAATCCACATTACCATGCACCCAAATCCCAGGTTGGAGAAGGCCACAGTTGTTTTGGGGTGGGCCCTAAGAGTCGTGGGAATCGGTCCTATCTCGGCAAATCTGCCCGAAGGGCCCTTGTACGGCTCGCCGGGCCCGCGGTGGCTAGAAGATAAATGCGCCTTCTCCCGCCCATTCCCTAGCACTGACTACATTTACAAGTGAAAGGATGGGAATGTGACATCGGGCCGATGGGAGGTTGGGGACGAGCTTTAGAGCGGAAAGTGGGCCATTTGTCCTTCGGATTGACGTGTAATTTGATTATTTGGTGTGGTCTCGGGGTTAGTGGATGGGGTGGATTGTCTTGACCACTGGGTTCCATTAGCCAGTTGGATGTATAGGATAAAGCACAGAGGATGGTAGGGGAAAAACAAAGTTAATAAGGTGGAAGGTTGTAGGGAAAGAAGTATGGGGTGGGTAGAGGAAGCTGATAACTAAGCTTATTTGCTAGTAGTACACGAGTAGTCCGTTGGTTGATCAGACGGAAGGACAAGTTATAATGGGCATAAGGGCCGCTATGGTAAGAAGGGGAGCAACAAGAGTAATAGGGAGGGTTAAGTAATATCTGCAACAAGCCGCAAAACCAGCAATAGCTGGAAAAATGTCGTGAAATACCGGAAAATCGTCCAGGATAAAAATGCAAAAGCCTTCAAATAAATAATATTTTCAACAAGCTGTAAAGCTATCGCGTTTCTCTAGAGTCTTGCAAAAAATCAGTGAAAGAGAGCTAAAATCAAATCGTTAGGGAATCAGTAACATCAGCAACAACCTGTAAAGCAAGCCTCCTTCTCCAAAATTTCGAGCCACAGGGCTGTAAACCCTACACAACCCTTGTTTAGCCAGGCGCCACACCGGAAACGGCAAAGAGAAAAGCCCGAAAACTGGCCCCATCTCGACCCACAATAAGCGCAAATCCAGCGCAGCTGCACCGGCCAACGAAACCTCATATTGCGCCCAGCTGAGAGAGCCATCCAAGAGGGGGATGGGTCGAAAAGTGAAGGTGCGGGCTCGGGCGCCATCCTAATGGCCAAATATTAAAGAGGGGTTCTCGGGATGAGAAGGCAGATGCTGTGACCTGTGGTGGTAGAGGAGGGTGGAGCCGTCGGGGGTGGGTAGAGGGCAGCTGGCTGTCCCTTGTAATCCGGGGTACCCTAAGAGGGTTGGTAAGAAGGATCATACGGTCATATCGGAGAGGGGGTCTTATTCTCTTCGTGTCTGTGAGATGACTTCCACAGGGTGCCAATGGTGGCAAACAAGCTCGAAATTTGCAAAAAGCTTTGAAGGAGGGATTGTAGATGGGTTATTGGAAGATCTACTAAAAAGACGACAATACCGAAAAAACCGGTGGGAAGGTCTCTAGAGCTCAATCGACATGCTCAAACGATCGAGTGAATGTTGCCAGCCACAAATTTTCAACTCTGTCGGTTAGCATCTCCTTTGTGCAAGACCCCCTGCAGGGCAAACCGATTTACCAATTGCCCCAAATCCGGTTTCCATTCTTTCTCTCTCCCACCCGACATCCACCGGCCCAAATAGTCCACCTCAGGGCCCCAACACACAACCACAGAGTCCCACTCAATCCCCTCATCCCAACCCTTGATTTGGATTGCGAGACTTACCCTCCCCCCACCACCTTGGAAATCCCATTTTCCCCCGAATTCAGCCCGGGGCCCCCAAAAAAGCAAGCCCCCAAAAATTTAATGAATTCATAGGGAGCCTCGGGGCGCTGAAGCAGCGTGTGTGGACGTAATTTTTGGCTCTTTCCCTTTTTCGGCTCAAAACCAAGGGATGGTGCCCCTAGGCAATCATTTAGATTCCACAGCCGATGTGAGGGGGAGGGGTGTGGGTCCGCAGAAGCTGAAAAAGAGCCCCAGGGCTTGGAAATGAGTGGCTGTTTTGGGGTGTGTGCTACGTATTCAACCCAAACTGCATCCGCTTTAGCTTTATCGCTAGCCCGGATGGCGGGGGAGAGGTGCGGACATGCGAAATTTGCAGTTAATCGCGGTAAAAGCTGGCCCCCGATTGCTAGGCGTGCATAGGGAAATATGGTGAGCTGGACTGGAAACAGGGAATATTATGGTGCTGTTGTGTCGAGAGGAGGGTCGGTAAGGAGGGTCTTGAGCAAAAAATCTGATCCAGGAATGAGGGGGGCTGGACATAAAGATCTACTCGTTTTTTTATCGAGGGTCGCGCGCGGGCGCCGAGGTTCTCCGTCATTAAAACGGGCGGGTTGAGGGGGAGCACGACGTGGAAGGGGGAGGGGTTTATGGGGGTTGAATACGATGCTCCACAATCAACAAGACAAGAAAATCGGTGGTTACCAAAAGTGTGGGCGACAGTTTTGGTGGAATAGGTAAAAGATTGGTATTCCACTGCGTTTTCTAGCCTGTCCAAATTCTATAGCTTAAGCCTCCACATCAAAAAAGCCCGCAAAACCAGGTCAATCAAACGTAAAGCCGAGCTCATCAAAAGTTTAACTTCGTGCCAACCAGCCTTAGTAGGTTGTCATGTTGACCCGGGACCAACGCCCCCAAGACGTCCATCCGAGGATTGACAAGAGGATTAGAGGGTGACTGACAGAATCGGGGC